TTTTTCAATTGGAGCTCGAACTTGTTATGCTTGTCGGTTGAGAACTGGAGGAAACGAGTAAATTTTCCTTTGAAACTGTAAAATGCTGAATCTATTGGCGTTATTATTTGCTGTGCAGGAATAAATATAGAAGGTTAACGGATAATTTAGTTGGAAGAAGGTGCAATGGAAGGATCAGAAACGGAAAAGGAGTAAGAGCGATGGCAAAAGAGCAGTCGAGCTCGGGGCCAGTGAAGCAGAGTGCTAAGCCTCAAAGGTATCACCCGTCCGAGGAAATTGCGGAGTCAGAATTAACGGCCAATGAATCGGCTAGACTCACGCCAGCCGAAACTACTCGAACTATAATTGAGGTAGCTCTGAAGAAAAATAATTTGATTTCAATAGTTATTTGATTTTACGGCATAAAATCTCCTAACAAAATATGTAATGCTACTTTATATTGAAATTTGATTTCTTAGGTGAATAGCAAAGCAACACTGATGTTTTCAGGTTTCTTGAGTGACGAAATTCAAGAGAACATTTTCTGGCCAGATTTACCTTATGTAACTGATGAGTATGGAAGTAAGATGTTTGAAGTTGTGTTCTCATTGTTGTTTTTCATAACATTACATGTGTTAATGTACTGAAGTTTTATCTGATTTTGTTATTATGTCAGATGTTTACTTGCAAGTAAAGAATGATGAAGATGTTTTGCAAGCTCTAACTTCCGAGGAAACCATTGTGGTAAGAGCTAAAAATATACATGACTAAAAGAATTGATTCATATATAATTTTACTGGAAATTTATTTACAGCTTAAATGCAACATTATTTACATCTCCTCTTAATTTCCTGGCAATTGCTTAGTCTGGTGTATGTTTTCTCATATATATCAATATATGGTGAAGAATAGATATTTTGCTCGATTTCTAAGGCATTCTTGATTCGGTCTTCATGCAGAAAGAAACTCTAGTGCTAGCTTGAAATCAACGTGAGAAGATAGGATATTATGTAATACCCAGACACACTTGATTTGCCAAGATACATATTATATTTGCACTCTCTGCTTAATGTCAAAGATGAACAAAATCAGAGAAAATGGATATCGGGAAGAGAAAAAAATATTCTGGAAAATCATAGGTTCAACCAGCACAAGTATTATTTGATCTCTTCGCTCATGTTTAAGACAAACAAAATCAGAGAAGGGATTATTTTCGGACTAGAGAACAAAGGGGTTCAGGGGACTGATGGGTTCTTTCAACTTAAATTAATAATTTATGGAGGTTTACTTTACCTTTTTAAAACAATGCAGCAAGTTATTATTGGACTAGATACAGAAGAAATAATCAGTGAGATGGAGGAAATTGATTTTGGCATAGATGAGCTCGATGACGACAATAGTGATTTTGATGAGGAGGATGACGATGATGAGGATAGCGACGATGGTGAAGATGATGATAATTATGAAAAGGTAGAATCTCTTTATTCAAATTTTGTAAATCTTGAATGCCAGAACTGTAGCACTGAAGTCTGTGAACCTTGATCATATGCTCATGTGCAGGACTTGGTTGCCATTCTTGATGACGACGAAGACGAGGACGAGGAATCTGATGGATCACTAGGGGACTGGGCTAAATTGGAGACAATGCGATCTTCTCATCCTATGCATTTTGCCAGAAAGTTAACTGAGGTAACAATCTTTATCAAATTCTTTTGTTCAATGTATAGAAGTAAACGAAAAATTGAAATATGGTTATTCTTGCCATGGCTGCCTAAGTAATTTTGGCTTATCTTTGAACTAAACGTATACTCCTGTTATATATTTATATTATATATTATCATTGCATATCTCTTTCTACGTAGAATACTTCCATTTTAATTACCAATCTTATTACCTCTTCAATCTAGTAAATCTATTTGTTGTTCAGGTTGTATCAGATGATCCCGTAGATTTTATGGAACAGCCTTCTGCTGGTCTTGCTATACAAGGCCTTCTAAGACCTGCATTTATGGAAGAACACTCCATAATACAGAAGCATATGTCTGGCCATCAATCAAGCAATGCTGATGTAAGTCAGATTGCCAAAGAACAAAAGCCAGGAGGAATTGTTAAGATCAACGGTCATAAACATGAAAAGGAACCAGCTCAAGATATCCCAACTTGGTCAGAGGAATTGGAGAAGGATGAAAGTCTCAGAAATGGAATTTCGTTTTACAAGCTAGAGATGATTAAAATTCAGTTAGTTTCAGCACACGGACATCAGGTAAACTTTTAATTTTCATTTGGTGAATCTCAAATAGCACGATGTTTTTCATTCATTGGACTTGTTTTTTCTACTGTTGAAGGATTTTATGTTTTCAGGTTGTGCCCCAAAAGAGCTGTCAAATTTCGACACTCTCTCTCTGATTTATTTAACTCAGAATCTTGATCACTGTATTAAACAGTTTTCACTCAAAGAATTGAGGCATATTCTTGCAACTTGCAAGCAATCTTGGAGACTGTAGAAGTCGTCCATGCCAGAACTGTTATGAAATTTCTTTTAGCCCCTGTATTCCATGGACGAGAATGTTATTTGACATTGTTTTGCATTTCACGGAACATCACAATGGAATTAAAAACTTCTTGTGGAATACACTTGGTAAGAAAAGAGAGAGCATATGACATCAGGAGTTAGGAGAATGAACTAGGATTTGCTACCGTGGTTAATCCTTGACTACTCTTGGAGAGGTAAGAGACTGACTAACCATACAAAACGATGTCTGGTCCTGTGAGTTGTGACTATGAGATAGTTGAATTTTCCAACTGATCTTCTATACCTTCCAGGATTGTCCTGTAATTCACGTTGATTACCTCCAAGATACATTGATCTGTAGGAGTGTTAATAGGTTTGGACACCCTAAATTCAAGTTTAGAGAACAGATCAATAACTTACTTTCTCTGACGCGGAGGGATCCCATGAATTGACCTCATTCAGCATACAAAAGGTTCCTTTAACTGGCTTAGAGCATTGTTCTGGTAAGGAAACTGTTTTAAGTTAGATCATCTCTCGTGATCTTTGTGTCGGCAACATATTAACAACATCGTGTAAGTAGTATGCTTGTAGAACAATGAGTGATCTACACCAAATATCTCCAAACCCCATATGCCATAGCTACACCACTGTGCCTACCAAACTATGCTCTTGGATGCCATTTAAGGCCACACAGTGTTTGCCTTTGCCGCTCAAGGAATATTTCTTACAAAAATTTTGCTCGGCAATAAAGAAAGAGCCTAGCCTTCCCCTGAGCAACAAAACTAAGAGGTTGCTTCACATCTACCTACCACAGCCTCAAGATTTGCATCACCACGCAAACAGGCATGGTTTACATCTAATTGATGTAAAGCCGATTAAAAGTGGCAACCAGAAACCTGATAAAGGTGACCCTCCCTACTGGGAAAAGGATCTCAAGTGATCCAAACCCAATGTGTGATGAAATTTTATTTAAATACCCAATTACAACCCACACAGGATTTACCAGGTAAAAGAGTTGATAGTTCCCACATATCATTTTTGGTGCAGAGCAAGAATCACACCTGGCACGGAGCACTGTGATGATGGGCAGATGAAGCTTCTGAAAGAGACTTAGGGAAGGAGATGGAGTCAATTAAATTAACAAAAGGAAAATGAACGTGGAAAAGATGACAATGTACATTTGCTCATAGTTCTTTGCTAAATGGAAAAAAAAATTCCCATCTGAAAGATGCAACGGATATTGAAAGGAAAGAAAGGATTTATGTCCACTAGTAGAAGGCAACATCTTATTTGCAATACTAATAAATATAAGATGATCATATGACTATTTCAATAATGTACTAATCAAAACCAATCTTGCGCATTAGAAGTATATAGAGTAATGCATTTAGGAAAACAAAGACCTGTCTTATTATACTGATATCTTCTTCATTATACTCGGATTCAACTGTTTCACTACAGAAATATACTTGTTTTACCTGCTGTTGTAATCGCCTTTGCTTATGTAATATTTTTTTCCTGTGTCGAAGGTAAAACTTTAAAAAAATTTAAATTGACTGGACAGACATTTCAGATTTGATACATAGTCTTATGCAATAATATTTTTACTTGTATTATGCATCCTCTGAAATATTTTGAGGTGTTATGCTTTTTTCTACTAGCCTCTGAAGCAAAACTTTTTGTTAATTTTGTGCTTGCCGTGCAGAGCTTTGTTGAAATAGAAGATTTTAGGAGAGCCAGACCTGATGTGATATCACATTCAGCTGCAAAAATTATATCCCGTCTTAAAGCAGGTGGAGAAAAGACCACGCAAGCTCTTAAATCTCTGTGTTGGAGATGCACGGGTATGCAAGTACAGGTAACTCGATAGAGTGATATCTAAAAGTTTATAAATATTATGAATTGGAAATGCGATGATTAGCACAAACAAAGAGAAAGGAAGAAATTGAAATATTACTTGGTAAATAATACCTGGTATCATGTTATAAATGCTTAGCTTTTCTGGCTGTGGTTGAACGTGACAACATAATGAATTTGAAAGAATCAGTAGCCAGCCTCTCCCTGCTTGTGTGGACTTCAAGCTAGCCTGTTTTTCCACCCTGAAAATATACCATTTAGTTCCTTCAGACAAATTATTTAAAATAGTGATTGGCGCTTTAGTTTCTGTTCATAATCTTGAATCATCTGCTGCTAGTAACCATTCGAGTGTCTTGTTACCAGAGGAAAGACAATCTTACATGTCACCAGAGATTTTTTGATATACAGAGGTAAAATTTGCTGCTAATATTATAATTGAAATTATGACAGGAGGTAGCTCTTATAGGTGTGGATAGCCTTGGTTTTGAATTGAGAGTTTGCTCGGGAACACAAGTGCAGACATTGCGCTTTGCATTTAAGAAACGGGTATATATTTAATTCTTTTGGTTGCATCAACTACCTTAAAAGAATCCTTTTGTCTTGTAGGCTGTTGTTTGTCTTGGCCATGCCTTCATCATGTCTACTGTCTATATACGATTAACATTATAATTATGTCTTGATGCATGGCTGACGTGCATACAATCTACACAAATTAGACACTGGAACAGAAAGGTTGTGAGTGGAATTTCGCGTTACATATCTATGGGGATAAGATTATTAGTTGGAATAGAAGCCGGGTCTTACTGAAATTTGAACAAATTAAAAGTTTTCAACAAGAACTGAGATTCATTATTTTATTCTTAGTTCTTAGTGCTGGTTGCCAGTGAAGTAAAACACGACCGCAATTCTTTCCTTACACTGAAGTATGTTGCTTTTGCAGGCCTCTTCAGAGTATAGTGCTGAAAGACAATTGAATGATCTACTATTTCCGAGATCCCCCAGGTATCAGCAAAAGAAAGAAATTCAACAGACTGAATCTTAGCATGTTGTAAATTCTGGTCACTCTGTGTGTAAGTGATATGCCCTATGTTCAATTGATTTTGGACATAAACATTTTGATATATAATTGACGCATTTTATTTTTGACAGATCTATTATTTAATTGAATTAATATTCTAATAAATTAACATCATATTTGATTCACATTCTTCTCAAAATTCATTCTTTTAAAAGTCATTTTCAACCACACATTCTCCAATAAAATAATATTACCTGCAAATCCAAGACTTTTCCTTATTTTTTAACTATACTAGTTAGAAGCAACGTGCAANGGAAAAGATGACAATGTACATTTGCCCATAGTTCTTTGCTAAATGGAAAAAAAATTCCCATCTGAAAGATGCAACGGATATTGGAAGGAAAGAAAGGATTTATGTCCACTAGTAGAAGGCAACATCTTATTTGCAATACTAATAAATATAAGATGATCATATGACTATTTCAATAATGTATTAATCAAAACCAGTCTTGCGCATTAGAAGTATATAGAGTAATGCATTTAGGAAAACAAAGACCTGTCTTATTATACTGATATCTTCTTCATTATACTCGGATTCAACTGTTTCACTACAGAAATATACTTGTTTTACGTGTGCAAATTCTGCTGTTGTAATCGCCTTCACTTATGTAATATTTTTTTTCCTGTGTTGAAGGTAAAACTTTAAAAAAATTTAAATTGACTGGACAGACATTTCAGATTTGATACATAATCTTGTGCAATAATATTTTAACTTGTATTATGCATCCTCTGAAATATTTTGAGGTGTTATGCTTTTTTCTACTAGCCTCTGAAGCAAAACTTTTTGTTAATTTTGTGCTTGCTGTGCAGAGCTTTGTTGAAATAGAAGATTTTAGGAGAGCCCGACCTGATGTGATATCACATTCAGCTGCAAAAATTATATCACGTCTTAAAGCAGGTGGAGAAAAGACCACGCAAGCTCTTAAATCTCTGTGTTGGAGATGCATGGGTATGCAAGTACAGGTAACTCGATAGAGTGATATCTAAAAGTTTATAAATATTATGAATTGGAAATGCGATGATTAGAACAAACAAAGAGAAAGGAAGAAATTGAAATATTACTTCGTAAATAATACCTGGTATCATGTTATAAATGCTTAGCTTTTCTGGCTGTGGTTGAACGTGACAACATAATGAATTTGAAAGAATCAGTAGCCACCCTCTCCCTGCTTGTGTGGACTTCAAGCTAGCCTGTTTTTCCACCCTGAAAATATACCATTTAGTTCCTTCAGACAAATTATTTAACATAGTGATTGGCGCTTGAGTTTCTGTTCATAATCTTGAATTATCTGCTGCTAGTAACCATTCGAGTGTCTTGTTACCAGAGGAAAGACAATCTTACATGTCACCAGGGATTTTTTGATATACAGAGGTAAAATTTGCTGCTAATATTGGAATTGAAATTATGACAGGAGGTAGCTCTTATAGGCGTGGATAGCCTTGGTTTTGAATTGAGAGTTTGCTCGGGAACACAAGTGCAGACATTGCGCTTTGCATTTAAGAAACGGGTATATATTTAATTCTTTTGCTTGCATCAACTACCTTAAAGATTCCAGTTTTGTCTTGTAGGCTGTTGTTTGTCTTGGCCATGCCTTCATCATGTCTACTGTCTATATATGATTAACATTATAATTATGTCTTGACGCATGGCTGACGTGCATACAATCTACACAAATTAGACACTGGAACAGAAAGGTTGTGAGTGGAATTTCGCGTTCCGTATCTATGGGGATAAGATTATTAGTTGGAATAGAAGCCGAGTCTTACTGAATTTGAACAAATTAAAAGTTTTCAACAAGAACTGAGGTTCATTATTTTATTCTTAGTTCTTACTGCTAGGTGCCAGTGCAATTCTTTCCTTACACTGAAGTATGTTGCTTTTGCAGGCCTCTTCAGAGTATGGTGCTGAAAGACAATTGAATGATCTACTATTTCCGAGATCCCCCAGGTATCAGCAAAAGAAAGAAACTCAACAGACTGAATCTTAGCATGTTGTAAATTCTGGTCACTCTTTGTGTAAGTGATATGCCCTACGTTCAATCAATTTTGAACATAAACGTTTTGATATATAATTGACGCATTTTATTTATGACGGATCTATTATTTAATTGAATTAATATTCTAATAAATTAACATCATAGTTGATTCAAATTCTTCTCAAAATTCATTCTTTTGAAATTCATTTTCAATCACACATTTTTCAATAAAATAATATTATACCAAATCCAAAACTTTTCGTTATTTTTTAACTACATATTTTTCATCACATAAATGCATTCTTTTTTCACAAATATGTATTAAACACCCCTAAATAATAGAGTCTATAGATATAAGTTTTAGTAATTTGTTAATTACAAGGAGTTGTGATTGTGAGATACAAATTGTATATGACTGAATTTTATATCAAACATGGTCGTAAGTAATAATGAGATGCGCATATTGTTATTACAGATAGACCATCAAGTGTGGCATTTCTTACTTGTGAAATGAATAGCCGATCTTACATGTTAAAGTTTGGTGACATTTAAATGTATACTTTTTTTTTTTTTTTTGTTATAGAACAAAATATTGAAGGCACGTTGATAACTATCTAGTGTCAATGGTCAATCTCTAACGTTCAGTAGTGGAATTAGTCCTTCGACCTGAGGTCATCATAGTGTCTTATATGAGAATGATCATACTTTGGTGATGTTAGATATTATTCTACTACGGATCACTAATACGACATCATTCGAGTATATCAAGAATCATATGAATGTTGTAAATGATCAATAGGGGGTTCATCACTTTTAGATAGTAAGAGATTATGATCTACATTTTATTGAGTTAAGTTGATAACGAAATCACTGGTCAAGTTGTGCTCATAAGTGGAAAAGAACTTTTGACTTATATTGACTTTAGAGTGAGATGAAAGATATGATTAATTATCGAGGTGATATACATTCATATCTTGTAATTGATCGGTTCATGTTAACGAAAGGATTATAGTTTCACGGTAGATTAACAAGTTTGATTTTATCATACCACGTGACATTTCTTATCATATATATTGTCTTAATATATTGGTAGATGTCAATTTGAGATGATGAATGTGAATTTGTGATAAATTAAAAGGGGTATTTTAATTTATCGATTTTGATTAGAAAAAATAATAATTCACATTATTAGGTATTGTGACCGAGACCTAATGAGTCACACACAAAAAGAGAACTAGAATAATGAGATTCATCAATTAATTAATTAACAAGTGTTGAATAGTTAATTAATTAAGTTACTTGTTAATATACCCGAATTAATTCATGAACCGTATTTAATTAATTGGATTAATTAAATATTGAATCATATTAAATTTAAGAGACATGTCAAGTCTACTTAGACTTTTATTAGTAGGTTGTTATGGTTTGAAAAAATACAACACAATTATATTCCTTCTAGCACAAGAAAAGAAAAATCATGGTTCTCTCAATTTGTTCTTTGTGTAGATTTTCATTGGAGGTTGAACAGTTGTGGATTGTAGATCAAAATTGTTCTTCAATGAATTCATCAAATGTATAATTTTCTATTGGAGTTTTAATCTAGACACAAAACAGATCTTTGATGAGAATTGAAATCTATTTTATTCTTTTGCTACGTATGATTAAGCCCAAGTTTGAGTTACATTAAAATTTTCATTCTCATTTTTTTACTCATTTTCAACTACACATTCTTGAATAAAATAATATTTTATATTACATCAATAACTTTTCCTTCTTTTTCAACCACACATTCTCCATCAATCCACTATTCCAAAATAATGTGGTTCAAACACACCCTAAGAGTGTGTTCGACACCCATTTTTTGAAGATAAAAATTTTTAAAATAGTGATTGATAGGAGAATGTGGGGTGGAAAAGTTATGAAAAGTTTTAAATTTGTGTGTAATATTATTTTATTGGAAGAATGTGTGGTTGAAATGAAGTAAGAAAAAAATGAGAATTAGATAGAAAATGAGTGTCAAACATGGTATGAGTAAATTTCCATCATGGTGTTCCAGAAAATGGCCATAGCATGTGGAAAGTTTAGCGAGTAGTTGTAGTTAAACTTTGAAGGATTAATCTACTTGTACGTTATCATGTACATAATGTGAGTGTGGTGGAGCCCA